GCTCGCAATAAAGAATATTTTCAAAGAATAATAAAAGACAAATTGTTCCAAACGGTTATAAAGATTATTATTTACTTGAAACATAAAGAAGAGCTATTTTGAAACTGTAACTAATAGAAGAAATAATTGGGCTTTAAAAAATAATGTTCCTGGAACTCATCTATTAAACGTCAATGAATCAGTAAAACATAGATAATTCGTAGGTCAAGATGGGTCATACTGTCAATAACCAAAAATTTATTATATATAACTAACAATTTTATTGGTGATACAAATTAATGTCCTGAACAATATGAATTTATCATCCTCCTGCATATGACGTAATCATCTGACAAACATTTTATGGATCGTATTTTTGAGAGAGGGATATTAACAAAATATCATATAATTTCTATATTCTAGTTCACTGTAGATAATAAATTCACAAATAATGACAGAAACCTATTACTTTATTTCTGTATATTTTAATAAGTATAAAGTTTCAAGCACTGAACAGATCGGATCGACAAAGCAAGGGCAGCATATCTACAATTGAAGAACATCTGGAACTCAAAACAACTATCAACCAACACCAAAGTCAAAATTTTCAATACAAATGTCAGGACAGTTCTATTGTATGGGGTGGAAACGTGAAAGATTACGAAAGTCATCATCCAGAAGATACAAGTGTTTATTTAAATTTTTGTAAAGATTAAGCTACTGAATCATTTAGTTTGTGTTTCCTAATTAGGATGTTCAAAACTATGAGAAACTGGAATGTTTATTGAATACCGGTAGCTAATAAACATCATAGCCATACAATCTATAATACAATATTGTATACTAAATAGGTTTTTATGATTTCGTGAAATGGGAAACATACCAAAAAGTATGAAGCAGTGATTAGGATGATATACAAAGTGAGCTATGTCAGTGCAATAATTGCACATTTCAGGCTTCACACATTAAGATAAATTGATTGAACACTTGAAAATTTTCAATAGGTAATAGGAATGGATGACGATTTTTACACGTAAATTGATGAACACGGTGAGATATGAGGCAATCATTTACATGCTGTTTAGGCTTTTGGTGAAGCAGGGATCTTGTTTTTTTTAATGGTAATCACTTTTACTAGTTAGTACATTTCACTGACAACTTTATTTTTTGTTTCAGTACAAAGCTTTTCGACTAACCCATGAATATCAAAGTGTTTTAATCAAGCATTTTGGTGCCAGAAATGTAGTAGTTCTCAACAACATATGACGTTTCTATCAACTGATAAATTTCAGAGAATCACCGATCACTATCAATGTTATGTTCAGTATTCATGTCTCATCTTCAGTAGAATTATGTGTATATATACCATCAATTCTATTAAACAGTCTCGTTATCAAGGTTCATTTGTATTGAACTGGATCATAACTATGAGAATTAAGATACTAACCTGTATAAATTGATTCTGTGTAAACAAATTGTTTGATTGCACTATTCTCTACTCTATTTATGAATACATCTAAGAAAGGATGTTAATTGTTCATCTCTATTTCGCCTCATAAATTAATAAAGTTTAAAGGAATATTAAGTTATTTAAACAGTTGAGATCATGAGTCAATTGAAGCTAGACCGCCATGGAGAACCTGGAAGCACTGGATGGCCGTTTTGTCCTATTGTCGGACTCCTCAGCAGTGTGCATCCACGACCCTTCATCCAGCGAGACTCGAGCCCATGACCTATCAGTCTAGCACCAGACGCTTAACCAACTAGACCACTGAGCCGGCTTCCAGGTTTCCCATGGTGGTCTAGCTTCAATTGACTCATGATCTCAACTGTTTAAATTACTATCATCTCGACAAAACCTCTTCTAATATTAAGTTCATTCAACAAATAATTCTCATTCATTATTAAATCATATCATTCTGATCATCTTTATCCGTTATTTCTCTTTATTATATTATTCTAAATTTATTAAATGAACTAAATTTTTTTCATTTTGACAAAAAAAAATTAAATTAATAAATTATTTATTAATTGTGACAAAACCAGGTTAATTAGAATAATTAACCAAAAATTAACAAGAAAAATTATTTTTTTTTATTTTTTATTAGGTAAACATAAATATTTATTTACTTACTTATCAATAAAAAAACAAACAAACAAACATGAATAGACAAAGACAGGTTAGTTACTTAGTAAAAATCTCTAATGTATATTATACAAAAGAAAACATTACAAATATAATAATAACATTATGATTATTACCAATAATAGAAAGAGTAAACATAATTGATTAAACTATACGCTTGAATGTTTTCAATTATCATTAATCATTATGTATTAAGTATTCTTTAGATAAATAATAAAAAATAGAAAAAAATTTTTTTTTTGTTTTCACGGGTGACTGAAAAAATTTATTTACAAGTTAAAATATAAATAAAGCTAAGTATTACAATTTAGAAGGCCGAATTGTTAATTAATTAACTTACATTACACATATTATATACTTCTTTGATGATGAGTACAGTCTTATGGTCAGTAATAGCAAGTGTAATGTATGTATGAATGTGTGTATGTATGTATGTATGTATGTATGTATGTGTGAATGTGTGAATGTGTGTATAGTTTTCCTAAAAAAAATTCATTTACTAATAGAGTGTTAATTAAAAAATAAATAAAGAAGGATTACCCTAGTTCTTCTTTTTTTATCAACATTCTACTAAATAGATAATGACCTGAAAATGATTGAATAATTACCAAGTGTAAAAGATTAATTTTCCCTCTTCTTATTTATTTATTTATTTATTTTAATTCGTATATTTCCTATAGAAATTCACATTATCTTTAATGAGATAAAAAGATAATCTTTTTTTATTTTTTAAATGTTTGTTTTGGTGATGAAATTAATCAAGATGTATTAAATAGAAAGTATAATAATGCAAATCTATTCACTAACTCCTTTCCTATTATTCCATTGTATACCTTTTACAATTTTGTAAAGTAATGACATGGTAGATTGTAATAAACTATCACTATCACTATTGTAATTCTTTCGAAGTGAAATATTTGAGAATATAGAAGGAAAAATGCTTCTTGTAAATGATTATTAAAAAGGATATAACTTGTAATGCTTTGCATGCATTGGGATAATCAACAATAATTTTATATATAGATATATTGATCAATATAAAGTAAATGGTTATATTTCTTGTGAATTCTAAAGATTAAGTTAAAATATGCTTAGTAGTTCATATGATTTAACATTAAATGTATTATCACTGAAGAAAATGATATGTTTATGTTTAATTTGTGATTGTACCAGCTATAATAGTAATGTCGTTTCTGACTATATAACTAAATGATTTGGGTTTGATTTACAGATGAAATATTAGTTTACACAAGAATGTTGACAAGTATCAACGTGTATGAAACATAGATTAGTGGTCTTCTGTCTTTTTTCTACAAATACTTAATCATTATTTAATCAAAATGAAACTGAATCTTGTCATTATAAACTAACAATATGGTGACAAATATTTTGACAATGAGATTTATATGCTTCAGATAGATTTGTAATAATTTTGTGTACTAATCTAATTACTTCATTAGTTTTACATCACTTAAATATTTAACAAAAATATTACATCATAGTGTTCTACTTTAACAAGATACCACTTTAATTCTTAAAAAAGACTGTAGTATTCATATATATATATATATATATATATATATATATATATAATATCATTGACTAAGTTTATCTATATATGTTGGCTGAAAACAATTTCCAGTTAAGTTAACTGAGCCTCAAAATACTATTATGTCGAAATTGAAAAAACTTCCCATAAAGTTTACATGGAAAACTTGTTTGATTCAAAAACACCTAAGCTTTGTATTCGTACGGACAAAATTGTTATTTTTAATAGTTGAATTCATGAGTCGATGTAAGGTAGACCACCGCTGAAAATCTGAAAACACTTGATGCGTAATGCTAAAGAGACTCATACTATGACTAAACGGCTGTCCTGTACTTTTAGGTTTTCAATGATGACCTGGCTTACATCGACTCATGAATTCAACTATTAAAATTGCTACCATCTCCACAACCCCCCCCCATTCTAATAAAATTTTAATTGGTTAATTTTAGTTTCTGAAGTAAATTCAATTTCTTAACGATTACCGAAAACTAACTCAGAGAGATAAACAATTGTAGAACAAATTAAGAATCCTTTAATCTTCAAAAAAACTCATTAAACACTAGGATAAATAGAATGAATAATACAGATAATTTGTTAAAAATATAAAAACATTCACTGTATGAGTTTGATCTCATATAAAACATCAAATCTTTTATCAAGAACAGTATACAAGAATAGATGATCATTTATTTCATAAGCACTAGCTTATAAACAATTGAAACTAGCAAATTAAACTGAGAGTAGTATCTTGTCTGTAAATCATCGCAAACATTAAACAGATTAAAACAATAAATATTATCAGTAATCATCAATTTAGTACATAATTACTTAAAAAACGTTTATCTTATCAACCACGTTTGAAATTAAATGTTGTTTATCTGACTATGTGAATAAATAAGATATTCAATGTTTTATCTAATTGAATGCATATTAAATTACCATATGACAATGAACTAAATAAATCATTCAACATGTGGATAGATATTGCAAATTTTATTAGTTCGCTTTCATCTACTCTGTAAACAAAACTTTGGTTGATAGACTAACTTTTAGATGATGATAAATGATAAATACACAAAGCATATGACTTATACTAATATATCTGTATGGATAAAATGACAGGAAATTGTATATCTAAATTGAAACTGTACCTTATTATTTATAAAATACCAGTATCATGAAAACAAATCTTTTCGGTAATGTTTACTAAACAAAATTTTATTTCCCCCCCCCCATCGAATTTCATAATTTGAAACTCAAACAACAACATCAGCAACAACAAGTTAAACAAAAAACATAATCATAGGTTGAACATATACAAATTACCTGCATGAAATTCCAATTTGTATTCTTGGTTTCTGAGGCATTTTATTACATAATAGTTTTATTTGTTGTATGGATATATGTATTTATATATAAAAAGAAAAAAACTTCTATAAAATGTATAATGTATCAATTAGGGTTAGTTATTCCTTGTTGATCATCTCACTTTTAATATAAATCTAATGAATGTAAGGCCATTTGTACTCTTGGTAAATAGTATATAGATGAATTCATGAGTAATTAGTTGTTTTTTTTAAAGTGAATAACCAGATATCAATGCAAATATTGAAATGTATTATATATATATATCTACAATTTACAGTTAGATAATTAACAAGAATAGATATAAACTAGTATATTTTAAATCTTAGCAATTTATATACAAATTCCCAATCAGCTATCATTGAGTTCATTTGAATTGGTGGAAATAACTTCTCAAAAATAATTGTATCTGATTGGTCAATTCGATTGTTTCATTATTTCTAATAATAGGAAAAGAAAATAATTTAAGGACAAAATATTTATTTAAAAAATTTTCCTCCTTTTTTTTTCTAAAAGAGAAAGTTGAGAATGAAGTCTTGGATTCACAAAACCAAAGTTACTGATTTCGATCAGAATAATAAAAGTTGAATTGTAATGAAATCATCACTTATGAAGAAGTGATACGGTTCAGCAGAAATAAATGTGATTCATGTTTTTTGCTTGGTGTTTTTAAGAATTATGAATTAACTTCAAACTTGTTGTACAGCCTAACAGATATTTGGGTTTAGCAGTTCAATGAATAAAATGTAGCAAGAATATCCATCTGATCAAGTCCGAAATAAGACAAATTGAACATCCTGGAATTCAATTCATCTATCCTATAAAAAATAAATAATTATGGTTAAATTAAATTAATCTGTACAGGGCATTTTAATGCCAATGAAAAGTGATCAAATATGGTCCAGAATAATAACAGTAAAATAGTTCCAAAATTTATAAATAAAATCATGCTTTCACAGCATTTTAATTCTTGGTATCATATGTGCAGTAATTTTAAAATGATATGAAGCGAAAAATCTACCAAATTAACAAATGATTTAATACAGAAGATATGCTTCTATGTCTTTGTAGAGTAACATTAACATAATTATAAATCTGAAACATACTCAAATTGATGATGAATAGATTTTCACAACTTCTGAAAACCTGGAAAAAACTAAACAGTTAGTCAGTCATAATCGGAAACAATTCAAAAGTGTGCAATTATTGCGTAGTATGAATTAAATATAGGATTATCAGGTTTGTATCAATAACTTAACCTTTAGTTCATTGAATGATCATTCATTGATTTACATATCGAATTTCAATCAATATTTTTTTTCTTCTTTATAGCGTGACAATCATTTATTGACATAAACATTTGTCTCATGTACAAAATGAATGAATTCCATTAGCTATAAGTTTTTTATTTAAAGTCCAAGAATCAACTTACATAACATTTAGGCACGAATAATTAATTAAATAATGTTTCTTACTTTACAGGTTTATAAAGATTGTTGAACTTCATAGAAAATATAATAGACTAATCTTTTTATTGTTCTATCGAAATTTATAAAAGGGACTAATTGCTTTAAATTAGGAAATAAATGAATATAATCCACTTTATAAATGTAAAGAAAGAAGAATAAATAATAATAATAATACAATTATCTATTAAAAAGAAAATTACTTTATATTTACTTATACTTTCAATTGTGAAATAATTACAGAGATTTTAGAAGATCAGAAGGATAAGTCTTTTTTTCTTTTCTTTATTTTTTCTTTTCTTTATTTTTTACTTTCCTTTATTTTTTTCTTTTCTTTATTTAAAAATAGAATTCTATATTGGCAAGAATAGATTAATCAATAAAAAACAAACGATTTATGAAAGAGTTATATTGTATTGTCTGTAAAGAGAAAAACAAACAAACAAACAATGAATATGTTTCAATTAATAAACACAAATGGACACAACAAAATGGTCTATATAGTTTTGGCAAAAAACGACAAACAACACTAAAACATGAATAATTGTGAACGGATATAAAACTATAAGTACAAATTGTTTAATGACTGTAAAGACAAACGAATACGAAGAAAAAATGGTTGAGAACTAGACAAATTATATTAGAACGACATAGCAACAAAATAAATTATATATATATATATAATTTAATATCAAAATCAAAATCTATAGTTTAAATATGAATTGTTTCTTTCTATTCCCTATCATCAGCATTTGAAGTCACAAGTAAGTTTAAGCTAAACCACCATGGAAAACCTGGAAGCATTGGAAGGCCGTTTGGTCCTAGTAGTAAACTTTTCAGCAGTTCGCATCCACGATCCCGCTACCCACGAGATTCGAGCCCAGGACTTATCAGTCTCGCGCCAGGCGCACTGCTGAGGAGTCTTATACTAGGACGAAACGGCCGTTCAGTGATTTCAGGCTTTCTATAGTGGTCTAGCTTCATTTGATTCATGATTTCAATCAGTGAAATTTCCAAAATCTCCACAAAACGGCTTCTGATAATCATCAGTATGCTGGAGAAAAGATGAAGTTTTGCTTCAAATTGTTAAGCAAGATGCTTTTTTGTTAAAAGAACTTGTTACATATATATATGGAATACAAACTAAGGTTTTAACTGATGAATAACTCTCTAGGAAGTTCAGATACGCGCTATTGCTCAGTTGAAATCAAAACAAGGTGATTGGGTTAGTAACGGTTATAAACAAATATGACTTTCCAGTTATTCAACGAATAATTGTTCATTCTACAAAACAAGCGCAACAAATAAATGTTATTCCTATCCTTTCTCGATAGATCACGTATAGATGCATTCAAAAGATAATATTTGGTTAGTTAGTTAGTTAGTGTTTCTAATTCTGGAAGAATGCTTCAGTTCATAATTAAAAAATGCACAATTTCAGTCAATGCAAACAATGCAATCAATAAGGGAACAAATCAATATGACTGCCGTCAAGACTGATTATCAACTAAAATAACATAAATGCAGTTCAGGAAGAAACATGGAAACTCAGTGAAGGTGTAAAAAAAATAAAAACTAATAAAATACAAATATTACAATCTCAAATGGAATCAAAAAGGCTAACAAAATATACAACTGAAGGAATCAGTAGAAACAAATTACAAGTGTGCACATGGAAGGATTTTCAGACACAGAACCTTCAAAATAGATCTTATATAATACTTGTTAAATTATAACCTATTAATTCGATATCATATTTCATGTAAGATACCATTCGTTTTCATCAAAGTGTACTTTGAAATATTGAGCAAACTAACTCTCTATCATGGATTTGAAAATGTCAAATTCTGAGAAGTTGTTATCGGTTTATTTTGGCATTGACTGATGAAATCTTGTCAATAATTTCATTAAAATATCTTACCATCCAAACAATATTATCATTTAGTATAATGGGTTGATGATGTGAATTTCACTGAAATATTACTATTAATAGAATATGAAGTATTTGAATAGGGTTACTAAATAGATGAATGGTAGGTAATGTAACATCTTGATTTCAAATTGTAACATTGAAAAAAATTTAATTTATAGTATTATTAAATGAAGTGTTTGTGATTTTGATTAATGTAATGTACTTTAGTTATTATTATAATTGAATTCAATTAGTTTAATTTAACTTGATGCATTGATTTATTTCATTTGTTTTTAATGAGGTAACTAGAAACGAAATACATAACACACACCCTCTAACTATTCTTAGTAACATTTCAATTGAAATATCAGATATTACATTTCATCGTTTAGAATTTTGAATATTTCTGTTACGTACTTTTTTAAATGTGAGAAAATACGAAAATGAATTGGGTAGTGTTATATCTTAATGAAGATTAAATTATAGATAACTCCTGAGAACTATTAATGGACAAATATTATACATATATAACGCAACAACAAATGCAGGAGAAGACCAGTGTAGCAGGAGCCTCAGCAGCAGTAGGTCTCAATATACACAAAGAGAAAAGCAGGATTCTCCGATACAACACAGAATGCACCAATCTAATCACAATTGACGGAGAAGATTTGGAAGATGTAAAAACCTTTACATATTTGGGCAGCATCACTGATGAACACGGTGGATCTGATACAGATGTCAAAGCGCGGATCAGTAAAGCAAGAGCAGTATATTTACAAATGAAGGACATCTGGAACTCAAAACAACTGTCAACCAACACCAAGGTCAGGATTTTCAATACAAATGTCAAGACAGTTCTACTGTATGGGATGGAAACCTGGAGAACTACGAAAGCCATCATCCAGAAAATACAGGTGTTTATTAACAATTGTCTACGCAAAATACTTCGGATCCGTTGACCGGACACTATTAGCAACAACGTACTGTGGGAGAGAACAAACCAGATCCCAGCGGAGGAAGAAATCAGGAAGAAGCGCTGGAAGTGGATAGGACACACATTGAGGAAAGCACCCAACTGTGTCACAAGACAAGCCGTCACATGGAATCCTGAAGGCCAAATGAGGAGAGGAAGACCAAAGGACACATTAAACCGAAAAATAGAGATAGACATGAGAAAAATGAACAAGAATTGGATGGAATTAGAAAAGTAGGCCCAGGACAGAGTGGGTTGGAGAATGCTGGTCAGCGGCCTATGCTCCATTAGGAGTAACAGGCGTAAGTAAGTAAGTAATTATACATATATATTCTTATTGTATAACTATTCAGTAATTGGATTGTGAATATCTATATTCTTCTTATTACAAGCTCCATTTTGACCCATAGATTATTATTGTACAATTTACTATTCTTATGTTCGGTTTATTGATTATAGTCTCTCACGTTCATAGCCACTTCTTGCCTTAATCTTGTATAGATGTTATTTCCTATTTTGTGCTGTAATGTGGTCTGTTTGGCTGGTATATGAACCAAATATGTTTGAAATAAATGATCGGTATAGTGGGAACTGTTATTAGTGTTCTGGACTCGACTGGACGGGTTATGTGAACAAAAGACCAATAAGGAC